CTTTTCTGTGTTTCTGGCCCTTTTTTGCTAGCTTCCCTACTGCCCTTCCTCAGCCCTAAGTAACTAGGTCGATATTTCCTCTTTTCAGTTTTTGTTAGAGGGCTGGCTAGCATTTTCAAAACAGTGAGACTGTGAGACTGTTTGTACTGTTATCACTAACAATGATAGCCAAAGGTTGTTTTAATTTATGGTATCCTTTTAAAATAATTTCTTTTGTCTTTATGGGTTTAAACCTGGAACATGCCCCTGAACTAGTGAATAACAAATTAGAGCACATGTATTGGGTAAAACCTGCACATTTTCAACTTACATCTTGAAGCTTTTGTTCAAGAAAGTTGAAATAACACGCAAGCTGTTAGCTTCTAGTCTTGCAAAAACCCAGTTCTATAATTTGTCTTTGATTTTGCTGTGCAATTACCATGTCCCTGTTACCTGGGAAATATGGATTCAAAAGTGAATGTTTTGTTTCCCACTTTTCTATGGACATTGTTAAATTATAGTCCTATGGGAGAAGTGCCCTGGCTTGGCTTTTGACATTTTGTATGTTTCTTTGAATGTTCATGGCAGAAACATTATTTAAATAGAATACTGAGCATTATCCAATACAGATACGTTAAAAAAAAAATCTGCTATGGATTCCATGGGGAGAAAATGTGGGGGCTCTGCTCCCATGAAACTTTGCAGCAGCATAAACAACACTAATGTCAAGCAAAGCCTTGATAATGTTTGTCTTGTCTTAGTGCTTGTCTTATCTCTAGTGTTCATCTTGCCTTAATCAAAAATCTGTGAGACACAGTGTTTGAAAAGGAAATACACTACTGGAAATTGTATCCAAGCAGTGGTAGTTTCCCCCCCCCCCTTTGAAATATACATTTAAAGACTTGCATGGGGAAAATTTACGCATCACCACCCCCTGGAAAAAAATCCACAAAATAGTTTGCCATAGCAGAATCCTACCCTAATAATATGGAACAGAAAAGAGTTTGGATCTTACTGGCACCAGGGAGAGTCTTCAAAGGAGCCACCTTTCTCCAGAGAAAGAGGGAAAGAATAAGATAAGCTTGCTCTCAAGAACAGAAAACAAAAAAGAGAAACGTGGCAAGTGAAGAAAGAAAAGAGCTGGCTAGAAAAAAAACAAGCCAGTACTGGCTGTGAATAGATGCTAACTATAGTTAGATCAGAATGTGTATCTTTCATCCCTCTGGGCAAATGAACCAACCATCATCATCATCATCATCATCTTATTCTTCCTCATCCCTTTCCTTGCATTTTCTGTCTTTTAGGTTGTAGGACTGATCTGGAAGCAGGGATAGAGTTTTTTGTAATCTACCTTGAGTGTCCCTTTGGCTGAAGAAAAATGCTTTAAATAATTTTAATTACATTTAAATGTTTGCTGCATTCTTGTCAGCTGTTGACAGTTCTGTTTTATCAAGTCAGATGCCTGTGGCAACAGACAGACATTGCAGTATGTATTTAATCTTCATTCAGTTCATGATTCTTGAGACTGATTCTCAGATAAATTGTGCTTGTATTTGTAGCTTCAGGATTCAAATACAAATTGGGTTCCTTTGGTTCTTATTCAATAAAAGTGTCAACACAGTTTGCATCTGCTGTAAAAAAGGCCAACAGCATGTTAGGGATTATAAGAAATGTTATTGCAAATAAAGATGCCAATATCATAATGCCTATATATACATCAATGGCGTGATCGCATTTAGAGTGTTGTGTCGAGTTCCGGTCACTACACCTAAAAAAGGATATAGAAGAGTTAGAGAAGGTTCAGAGGAGGACAGCTAAGATGATCAAAAGGCTGGAGCAGTTGCTCTATAAGGAAAAGCTGTGACATTTAGGGCTTTTTAGTCTAGAAAGGTTGCAAATGAGAGGGGACATGACTGAGGTGTACAAAATTATGCATGGTGTGGATAAAGTGGATAAGGAAAACCTATTTTTCCCTTCCCAAAATACTAGAACCAGAGGTCACCAATGAAATTGAATCCTGGAAGAATCAGGACATTACTAAATGCATAATTACACTTTGGAATTCTCCACCCCAAAATGTGGTGCTGGCTATCATCTTGGCAGGCTTCAAAAAAAGGGTTGGACCAATTCATGGAAATCATGGGGATCCATGGCTATTAGCCTTGATGGCAGGGTGACTGCCTCTGAGGGCCATCTGCTGGGAAACTAAGGGGGCTTTCCTGTGCAGTGGGTTGGCCACTGGAGGACTGCTGGACTAGATGGGCCAGGGGTGCAATCCAGCAGGGTACTGCTTATGTTCTTATGCTTTCCAAACCAACATAATATCTAAGGAAATGATCTTTAGATAATTTAGAAATTAGGATTCTCAGGATTCTCACTTTCCATCAGCGGGCTAGCTCTCTGAAAACTGAAAATAATGAGTGCAGATTTCCTGTGTAGGTAGAAACCAGCAAAGAAAGATCAAGCTTGATCAGGCCAAGAGTTGTGTGTGTGTGTGTGGGGGGGGGGGGAATCCAGAAGAAAGTTTACCAATGCATCCCTATGGGGAAGCAGTTGCACAGCAGCTTGGAATGCTACCAGCTGTTCTGTTCTTAAGCCCGCCTTATTCCTGGTCATGTGACCCACAATAGACCTGTTACAGTATTAAGGGATTGAAAAGAGTTCTGAAAGCCGTGTTCTACATGTTTTCCTACCTTGTTTATTTACTTTCAGTGTTGCATTACAGCCTGCCTGTCTTCAAAGGAGTCAAGGCATTTAATGTGCTTCTCCTCCCTATTGCAATAACCCTGTGAACTAACTTGTGTTGAGAAACTGACCTGGTTCACCAAGTGATAACCTGCTTAATCATGTTACTGAATATACCATGATTAGTTGGGATTGTGATAAGTCATTAACCATTGTTTCCAAACTGTAATGGCTGAATATATCATGGTTAGCATGACCAGGTGGGGATTCCAGTGGGGTCTTCAGAGAAGGAATTGCTGAAAGAAAGATTCTGCCCTTGTTACATGGGTGAATAGTTTAGTCAGAGCCTGTTTCAGGGGTAATTAGCCCTTTTCAGCTACAGGCCCATTTGAGATTTTGAGAGCACGTGGTGGGCATATTCACAAAATAGCTGCCTTGGAAGATCTGCCTAGTGACAAAAATGATGGATATGGACAGTCAGAAACCACCTAGTTCCCTGAAGGAAACTATCTTTCTATGATCTTTGTCAGACAGACCCTGATCTGCTGAAGCATACTAGCAACTTAACGTTGGTTTTCTTTGTTTTTAAAAGTTAGTTGGTGCAGGAAGCCTGATAGACATTCAGGGAAGAATCTGAAATTCATATTGGTGCCCGCAGGCATCCCATTGCCCACCCCTGGCATGTTTATTTTCTGCAAACTGCTCTTGTAACCTGTCTGTTCTGCTTCTTCTCAGTACTTTGGAATACTTGAAACGCTGGCTACAACCAGAGAAAGTGGCAGTCAGTAGTGAGGAGATACAATATCTCATCCCCCTTGGAGCTCCTCCTGAGAAGCAAGAGGCTGAAGAAGATGAAGAGCCTATGCCTGGAGAACAGTGAATGCATTTGGACTTTGCCTCCAGCCCAGGTGGCTGTTGGCGGTTTGGGTTAAAATACCAAAAGAAGTGCTGTGACGGGGTTTGGTTGAGATAGACCTTGTGAAGTAGACCTCCACTGCAGTTTGCAATGCACAGATTCTGGTTTGAAATCATATAGTGTTGCAGATTTAAGGTTAATTGTACGTGATCTGTTAAGATGACTAAACAGAAATGCAGTAGATAAACTTAATTTGGCAAACAGTTTTAAATCCTCTTCCCTGAAATGCTGAGAAGACTTTGCCCTTAAATGACCATTTATGGAAAAATGCTTAGCAATAGTTTCCTTGCAGAGTGTAATTTCCTCATTCACAAGTCCCCTGAAACAGCCACGCGTATCTTTTTCCCAACTTGGAAAAAAGCCCTCTGAAGACCTGTACCTTGTTCCCTGGGAAGTGAAGAACGTCTCTCCTTTACTACCGTACTTTCTGGATAAAGCCAAGACAAGCCACTGCGGTTTCAGCCTTAGATCAGGGAGCACTTCCTAGCAAAAACATAAGAAGTGCTGTGCGTGAAATGGGTCTTTCCCCCCCTTCCTGCAGAGGCTTTGAGTCATAAATTGTACTATTTTGTGCAGTCTTTTTCTATTGTGCTTACTTCTTTTTTTAACCATTCATGTCATCTAAGGATTGATGTTACCCTCTTTTCAAATATTTTTTTTTCTGTTTGGGCTACTAGTTACCTATGCACATTTTCTCCCTCCCTCTTTATTTTCCTTGCTGCAAAAAGTAAAAGACAATGCATCATGAAACATTTGTGGAATAAAAACTGCAGCAATCAGTTGAATGCAGAAAACAAAGTATGATATAAGTGCAGAACAGAAAGAGTTGGGTGAGTTTTAGTAATATCTCTCCTGACATGCCCATTTCACTTTTTTTTGGCGGGGGGGAACTGGTGCATGCAGAAGGCATGAAAAATGTAATTCTCCAGTTACATGCCATAGCATAGCTTTAGCCCTTCTACCTCCCCCATTTTATCACCAAACCTTTACAGTTTCTCCCTCTGATACCTCTTAATATCTAGTTGCAGTCTCTATTATATGCTGCTTCGGTGACTTTTTTTTAATTGGCCTTTTTTGCTTTTCTATTTCCAAGTAAGTTATCATTAACAGCTGTATAAGGAAATAATTGAGGGCAAGTGCCATCTGAATCTCATTGTTTACCATTGGCAATGTTATGTAGTCAAATCTGAGAGGCTACACTGCTACTTTCATTGGTCTAAGAAAGTAGAAAAACAACTCAATTTTTTTAAAGAATGCAACAACTAGTTGGGTTGGTTTAACAGTAAGGCAGCACATGATTATATTGGGGGAAAAGGGTGAAATGCTATGATACCTCCACTTTTTTCTTTTTTCTTTTGCACTGAAATTCAAGCCTGGAGAATAATTGCAGCATCCCAGTTAAAGAATGCAGATTGGAAGTTCTGATGTCTGCTTTAAATGCATGTCATTGTTATTTCTTCTCCAAAATTGCAGAGATATCTATTTTACTAAAGGATCAGAAAATAAGAGTCCAAGAAACTTATTAGACAAAATGTCTAAAAACATGAGACGTTTACATATTATTTCTTTACTTAATTGATTTCAAGTTTAGCTTAACTGGATGTTTCTGAGTCTGGTAATACATTATGGATGATGGATTGTACATTTTGGAGTTGCATAGTCTGTATATTGTCTGTTTGTATAATTAAGACCCTTTTAAAAGTTGATTGTGATTACTTCTGTCTCCGTCCAGTGAAAATATATCTTCCTGTGTAGATGAATTTGGTGTGACTTGATGACTTTGTGTGTTGTTTTAGAACAGGAATGGCTCACAAGGATATTGCACCACAGAGAAATAGGTGCGCTTTGGTTGGTGGAAAATAGCAAAAATGAAGCATGTAAACATTTGTTTAGGCTATTAATCAAAGAAAGAAACTCAAATGCACAAAACTATAAGAAAAACTCACCCTCTTCAGTGATGTCACTGTGTCACTGTAGCTTTCAGCCACCAAAAATTGTTAATAAAAATTGAGGGGAGATTGTTCTGGCTACTGAAGGATCGTGTGCCCTGTTTTATCTATCTATCTATCTATCTATCTATCTATCTATCTATCTATCTATCTATCTATCTATCTATCAATATATATAGAGAGAGAGAGCGAGAGAGCTGCCGGTCTCACACACGTGAATCTGGGTGACATACACAATTAAAACACAAAGCTAAACAACATAATTCAAACACAACCATTAAAAAACAGTTAAAAAACTATAACAACAAAAGGACAGGGGAGAGTGCATTAAAACTTATACACAATGCAATTATTTAACAGGCTCCACACTTCCATGGGATCCCCAGGCCCAATGGCAAAACTAAGTTTTGAGGGCCTTCTGGGAGTTCAATAGGGTTGGGGCCAATCTCACCTTGGGGGGAATGATAATAGTAATAATAATGTAATAGTTCATGTAATCTTAGAATATTGACTTAATTTTGATAACAAAGTACTGATCCTACATTGTCCTGAGTAAGGTAAGTAAGGCGGTTACAAATCTGACATTAAAATATTTCAAGATTGGGCAGTTAAATATATCTATATACAGATATTTATATATACTCAGAAATACTAACATGAAGCCCCATCCAGTCCGGATGCAACCAAGATTCCTGTTTCCCCTTTGCTAACTCATCAAAGTAGAGCAACTTAAGTACAGAAGTCCCTCAGTTTCTTTGGAGCTGAGCTTCTGATTAAACCAGAGTTGCAACAGTTAGTTAGTTTTCCTTATACTGAGAAAAGCTTTAAAGTGTTTTCTTTCTGAGTTACGTGTCCAGTGCATTCAGAGCTATAATGGAGCTATTGCTTCTCCAGTAGAATTATAGCTAAAATAACTTGAGGTGGGAAAAGACAAAAGAAGCCACCAGGACTTGGGAGTAGAAATGCAGGTGAGTTTATCTCAGGAGGGTAGGTTTATATTAGGAAGTGAGAGGAAACATAGTGCACAAGGAGAGCTGTCTCCCATCAGTTCAGCACACTAGCTAAATGGTAAAAAGCTGAGCAAAGCCGAACCCAGAGTATTGTCACTACTATCATCAGCTTCAGAAGCCTTGGAGGAAGTTGCCTCAAAGAGCCATGAGCTATGCCCTGGTCGGTGAGAATTTGCCAGCTGAATCCAGCCAGGAAGCTGGATCTGGCTCATATTCACTAAAATATGAGTTCGCTCAAACCTCTCTAGATTTCTTACCTGCTTTATGCAAGGTCAACGTTTATTGCAAGACCTCACTATTTATGGGTGCCTCTGCAATGAATGCTGCAAGCAGGGTCATGGGGCCAACCCTTAGAAGAAAAAAAGGTAAGATCCTTTCCTTCTGGATATTCCTATGTGGATCTGATTTTTAAATTGTCACTGTTTTCAGAAATTCTTGTACTGCCAAATAATTTAAAATTTGCAGGATGGATACCAAAGCAGGAGGACACTAAAGGTCCAGATGTTAATTAAAAAATGCAGGTCATCCACAGGACAGTCACTCTGTTGGTTATGGGAATCTCACTGCTGCTTGAACTCATGTGAACCAGCTAATAAGTGATGTGGGGATCTTACAAGAATCAGAAATTGGCAAAGGAAAAAGGCACATTGGCATCTTTGGGCTTCTCATTTCCATAATCAGAACATTAGAGTAGTATGAAAAGCTGTCCAAATTAGAAACACAACACCCTAGGTGGCTTGCATGAAAAATGTTGAGACTTTGCTTTTGTTAATGTTCCTTACATGCCATAAGATAAAAGGAGCAGAGCAAGGTCCCCGTGCCCTGAGTACTCTATATGGCTATGACATTTACAGTGCTAATTGCGATTGCATCACAGGGCTATGGCATGGTGTCTGGCTAAATGTAAATGGCATAGCAATTAACTAAGCAATTTCCAAATTCACTGAAAAATTGCTATCTTTATTGACAAGTCAACTAGGACTCATTCAAATGATGAATTGGTACCATTTAAAATATAAGATTAGAACTAATGACAGCAATTAAGGCACATTGAAAAGAAACATCCATCAAAATCCCCACATGGATTATTGTTGATGGATGTTCTGTACCTTCAGAATCCTTGATATTTAGCCAAGCATTTCAGAAAGTCTAGTGAAAAGGCTCAACTGCCCCAATATTTGCCAACCAGAAATGAATATTTAGAAGCATATTATTTTGGCAGTTCCAGCTAATGATTGTAGACAATACCTGCTAACTAGTTTAAAGTTAGAAAAAGGTATCAAGAATCTGCCTAATTTCCTTCCACAACCATCAAAAGATGTTTTGAAGCAGGGAATCCATCAAATGGATTACTGTAATGCGCTCTACATGGGGCTGCCCTTTAAGAAGCTCAGAAGCTAAAGCTGGTCCAGAATGCAGTGATGGGTAGCCTCAGTATGCCTGTGTGACACAGTTCTGCAAGCTGCACCAGTTACCAGTTGGCTTCCTGGTGCAACTCAAGGGGCTGGTTATCACCTATAAAGCCCTTCATGCCTGGTTATTTGAGGGACTGCCTGTCTCCAGTTGTTTCTGCTCATCTGGTGTGATCAGGCAAGGTGGGCATGCTCTGTGTCCCACCAAATCTTGGCACCTGCCCTCTGATATCCTCCCAGAGATCCAGGTGGCTCCTACCTAGATGAGATTCAGAAAGCTATGAAAGAGCTGGCTGTTCTTCCAGGCTCTGGGGCAGAGTGAAGGCTGAGCCCATGCTGGATGGATTTTCTATGTATGTATGTATGTAAGTATGTATAAATAAATAAATGTTCCATATCTGAATAATGTATTGTGTGAAGCCCCACTTTCCTTTTTTCCTGTCCTGAATACAGCACTAGTTAAATTGTTCCTTGAGGAATGAAGTCAACTTTCCCCCTGACTGCTGCCATAATTTATGTTCTTACATCACATTCTCTTACTTTGTGATTTTAAGAAATGACAAACTATAGCTTAAATGTCCTTATGGCTTCCCAGCCTTTTGCAGTCTGGAATCTTTCCAAAATATTGGACTCCTTGCCTTTGGAAGTTGGGTGGATATAGCAACAACCAAATACAGAGTCTTTTCTACAGTATTACGGTGTCTGGAATATATCATTCAGGGGATGTTTGCTAGTTGCTGGTTGAGGTGTATGTTGGGTTTGGCCAAATCCTTTGGTTTCCTTTGGATTTTCAAGGTGAAGGGGTTCCTGCAAAAAACTTGAAACAAATCAGGAGCATCAAAATACTTGGTCCCTGCTTTGGCATTTCTAAGCATTTGAAAAAGTATTTGAAAAAAAAAACACTACTTTTGATTCTCCATAAAATATTAGGAGAGAGGGAAGGCAGAGAACTGGAGTTCAATATTGATTGACTAATTGCAATTTTAAACCACTCATCAGCAACAGACCTCTGTAAACAGACAGGTCTATCTCTAAAGAGAGGAAATAGCTTTGCAGGGCTTCTTGAGTTGGAGTATTTTGAAGACAGTTGTTTGCCACCACCTAACATTAGAGTTAGTTTCTTCTTTTTTTAAAAAAAACAGACTGTAAATTCATATGGTTCCAGCCTCTTGCCTTTCTGCTGTAACTGGGTACCAAAGGCAGTTGGAATATTTCAAAAAATTGAAAGACGGGATGCAAATATTCTGTATAAATAATATAAAACTAGAAATGTAGACATAGGGATCCTAAATATTGAGAGGTTGATTAAAATATATAGCTGCTAGACTAAGCATTGTTTACAGCTAGGTGGGGGGGGACTTATTTTCCCCCTGGAATGATCTGTGGCAGGAGGTGCATGGTACAAGTAGGTAAGAATGAAACAAGCAGTGGGTAAGGCCAGAACCAAAAGTAATGGGAACAACTTTCCAATATGTTTTCCCCTGCTTTCTGAAACTCTCACTTCATTCCCAGGAAAGAGAGAGTGAAATCTCACTAGTTTAGGAATGAGCTCGAGAGCTTGAAGCTTGATTCTACAAAACATTAATCATGTTGATATCCATGCGTCTGCTTTGAAGAGCCCTTTTGCTGAGGGGGGTGAGGAGAGAAGTTATTCTGATTCATTTAATTAATATGTACATTCAGTCGATCTGAAAAAAAGCGGACCCTGCACCTGTGAGAAAAATGCTAGGAAGAAAAAAAAAAACGAATGTGTACCAATCCCTAATGCAGATCTGTAGACCAGGGAAGGGCAACGTATGGTCTTCAACTCCTATTAGCCTCAGGCAGAAGGACAGGGGACTGACAACAGAGGGCTCCCTCTGCTTTAGTCTCTTCTCAGTTGAGCAAGACTATTTTCTTAAAGAACCCCACTGTTTTCTTTTTATTGATATTTTCTATTTAATTGTCATCATTACCCTTTATAGCCCTCCCATTACATTTTGTGAGGCTCCTAAGGAGTGGGCATGACAACAGACCTTCTCCATGATCATCCATATGCTTTGGAATATGCCCCCCCCCCTTTGAATTAGGCTTGGTCTCTCCTTTCTTTGCATTCCGCAAAGCACTTAAGACCCTTTTATTCCATGGTGCCTTTGTTTCTGATTGATTCTGGGTGACCATTAGAAATAAATGGATTTTTATTTTTGCATTTCATTATTGTTTTTCTTCATTTTTAATTGCTCCTTGTTGTAAAATACCCAGAGTCTGCATGGATTGTAGCGGTTGACAAATATCTTTTAATAAATAAAACTTTTGTGTGTGTGTAAATGGTGAATAGTTGAAGATAGACACAGTAATGCTCTTTATATTATACAGTACAAAAAAACAAAGGATGAGATCATTGTTTGCCATTTCAGTATTTTATGAAATGAGACAACTTTCCAATAACAACATCAGTTAACTGTTACGGTTAGATAAACCTAGCCTATTTTGTTATTTGTACATCATGCCAAGTTATCTTTAGATAAACAAGGATGGTGCAGTTGTACTCTTCAAATTAACTACTATTTGTCGTTCTAAGTACACATAATAAATTTATCACAGATTTTAAATTATATTGTGCATTTCTTCTTCAAACTATGTTGAAGAAATGATGATCACATCTAATGGCA